GCGCTTTGACCTCCATGGTAGTCAACTCAAACTCCCTCTTTTGGTAGATACCCTGAGTGTCCCAAGAATCGGGAGAGCTCTCGCTTTTCGTATCGTTAAGGGTGGTTCGTCCATCGGAGTAGATGTGCGCTTTGTGCGTGGATTTGGTGCCGATGGTTGGGCCGGGGCCGAAACCGAAGCCGAAAAGGGATGGAGCTCTGTGTGATGTTAGCGTTTTGCGACAACGACAGTACAAGATAAGGATGTACCGGCTGCGTCGCCTTGTTCCTTCTGCGGTGGACGCCAGCTTCTTCGATGTAAGGGAAGTCTTGATGTCCCGGAGGAGAGGTCGCAACACGGGTATACACTGAACAATGATGGTGCCGACGATCTCCGAAGAATACCAAATGTTGGAATGAGCGTTGCGCCAGAAGTACCACTCGTCCTTCACGTTGCCCTCGTCTTTCCAGCCTGTGCGTACAGCAGATACGATAGCAACAAACATCCCCTATTCCAAAGTCAGTAGTGGATTAAGGGGGCATACTTCAAGCAACGCACCAGACTCATGGCAACACAAAGCCCAATCTTTTCCACCTTCCGCATGTCGAGGTTCCACGTGATGACCCAGGGGAAGACTGCGAGGATAAAGTCCATGATGATGTTGTACACGTTGCCGCCTTCCTTGAAGTCGTCCCTAAACTTCGAGTCCAGGCAGAAGTCCAACCGGTACCAGACGTCGTAGGATTCTTTGCCGCAGACTTTTGCCCATTGGAGAATGACCTTGGCAATCATGTATGCATTCATGCTGCCAATGATGAACCATAGTATCCATTGGCCCCAGTTCTTAGTCAGCTTGAGCAAAGTGACGGCGAAGGCAGTTTTGGTGAGCGATTGGTTGATCAGTGTTCCACAGGAAGTAATGTTGATGAGTATGTGCATTCGATCGTCCCATGTGTCGGTCACATAGCCTGTGGCATACTCGGTTGTGATGATGGCGTTGTTGACAGCAAGTAAGACCTGTTACACCATCAGCTACGACTATCTGTAAGCCCAACAGGCGCCTTACCCATGCGACGAGGAGGATGTGGTCATCCCACCAGAGACCGTGGCGACGAGTGACTTTGATCCATATCCGGAGCGCCAGGAAGAGTGATGCACCAGCAAACAACGCCCATAGCCCAATGTTCAACTCGAGTGAAGGATCCACGTAGTGGTGATGCGAATCATCGTGGTTCCGGCGGATCATGTTTTCCCAGCGGTCGGAACGGGATGCGGCATAGAAGCGAAATGAAGGAAACCGTAAAGAGTGAGATGTAGTCGCAGACCGACAAAGTTAAGAAACGAACGAACGAATGCCTCCGGCACTCTACACTGAATGACCGGGGTGGTGGGTGGAAGAAACGACGAACAAGAAACGCCGTAAAGTGCGAAGCGGCACGAGGTCTAGATGACATTTGCGCATCCCCGTGCAAGGATTCCAGGGCTTTCCTGTTGTTAGCATCGATCACAGCCCAGCAAGCGACAATCTGCTTGACATTCCAGACTCGGAGGTTTTGAAATGAGTCCCATCTCGAAGGATGGTTGGTGGAACCACTATGCCGGTAGTGGGCAAGCCCCGGGCGCCGTCGCACGATAACAGCTGTATCTTCCGATGTATCCTGGGGAAGCTCGTGTTTGCTAACTGAGATAGACGTTAGTAGGCGAGCCTCCCATGGCTTGTGCTGACGCGGAGAGGCTCCGTCATTTAGTCTGCTTGGGAGAAGCAAGCAGAAGCTGCTCAGTGCCCTTTAAGCGGTGGTTTGACGACATTCAGATCAGCGATGGTCATGGCTACTGAGATAGCTGCCACACAGTGGGACAACGTCGCACAGATGTGCGAAACATGGCAAATGCCGCGACCGTGCTTGCTTCTCCTGGGTGTGCGCAACGTTCCAAAGTCGTTCCAACGTCGCTCGAAACAGGCCACGTGCGGAAGACGCCACTACGCCCGTGTACTGGCGGAGAATTACGACTACGATTATCCTTGGGGGACGGCTCGATATTAATCGATGCATTGCAAACACCAGGTCAGCTGCGCCGAGCGTATGGTACGGAATGGGTAGGCCCGGGAAGCCGCAGTTATGCCGACCGGTAATGACTGGCATCCCCAGCGCGCAGACTCTGCTGTTGGGTTTATTCGCAGAGTTGAACACGAAATCGATGAATCGCGAGGGAAGGGGTGGGAAAGAAGTGTTTCAGATTGAGAGACGCCGGGTCAGTAGCCGATGCGCTGTTTCGAAACGGGTAAAGCATATCCGGCCGCATGAACGAGGACGTCATTCGATCGTGCGCGCGACGAACACCTCCCTTTTTCTTCTCTATTTCCGACATACCATGCTATAACAAACACATCGGTTAGCAGTATAGGAGGAGCGATGCTGGACGTGACTTCAGAGCATTCACAAATGAAGGTTGCGCGATGATGGTTCCTCATTACCCAAACCCTGGAGCGAAGATGATCGGGCATGTATAGCGTCATCCCTTCTCTTTCGCTCTTATCTCACTTACTGTGCAATTTCTCAAGATGCTCGTTCCTTTTTTCCTACTCCCTCCACTTCGCGATGGTTCGACGTCCTGTAACGCTCCAACGGCGCGCGATCTCAGGTTTGGGTGTAGCGCAACGTGAATTCGAGGACTAAAGGAATCAGAACAAACTACACACAGGCGCATGTCGAGACAGGATCGAGATATTGCATTCACCCTGTTCGCCGGATCTTGAGTTGATCTAGGGCTCGCTCCTTCTTCGACGCCGTTAGAGACCCGTTTCGCCAGGTGCGCATCGCCGTCCAAGCGGCATGCCAGTGCCTCCTCGAAGTCCTCGGATGCGATTGGCTCGTCCGTGCTTGGAAAATTTTGTCGGCAGAACGTGTCTATTAGCCGACCTCAGATCTCTTGGTTGTAGATTTGGGTGGATGGACATGATCTTCAATGTAGCAAGCATCCCTTGTTAAAGGGGTTGAGGGCGCGTGCCTTTGCAACTTGAGAAGGGTGAGCGAGATTGGTTGGATGGTTATGAACCGTTCGCATCGGCAGCCACGCCCTACGACATTTGGGCCTCACCATACCTAGGTATCCGCACTCGTAGTCGCCTGGTTCTATCCAACACGCTGAGGCGAGAACACCTCGCAGATATGAGCGACTCTACAGCAAGCTGTTGTTTCCGTCCGGCAATAGAAGCGACATCATTGGTGGATACGACGACGTTCGCGAAGCTACCCATGGTTACGCGATGATGGGTACTACCACTGCATATTTCTGCTGAACCAAGGGAGGGATTTCGCAGTACTATTTCTTTATGATAAATCTGGAATTATCGTGCAGTCGCCATCGCGCAACAAACCTCTTCTCACACCTCGACAAAGTGAACGCGATTTACGACTACATTCAAAACCCGCTCCAAGCACACGCAGTTCAGCAAAATGGTTCCATGTCCAACGCCAGCAAGCGTACTGCGCTTCGCAACCAGTCATGCCACCAGTTCAACAAGAATGTCACTCTTCTGTACACTTGCAAGGCCATCCACCTTCTCAAGAAGGAGCCTCACCCTATCTCGCGGCTTCCGATCGTCTATCCAGACCTTAGGCCCCTACAAGAAGACTGTAGCATCACCAAAGGATTCACCACCCCGCTTTCAAAGACCGATAACTCGAATCACCCCTTCTATTTCGTCCCCACGGGAAGTTAGGTATCGACACACATCCAAGGTCAAGAACCCCGTGTCCAACATCCACAGATACTCAATCCTCGCTCTACTGCTAGCCCCCAGTATAACGTTTCTAGCCGTCGGAGTATTATATGGCTATGGATTCAGCGAGCCGCCCTCCAAACCAGGGGGTGAGAAAACGGGAAAAGCAACGAGGAAAGCAACGGGGAAAGAAGTGGGAAAGGTAACAGGAGAGGCATTGAAAGACGGACTCAATGACCCTTGGATAACGCACGTTGATGGATGCCGGGTGCGTACCTACAGCCAACCCTGGCTCGTCGGCTTATACATCTACGGAAGCTTGGAGTAAAAATCTGGAAGGGCTTTTTGAGACGCCATCATTGTCCTACAGCGGCTGGACCCGGCATCACCCAAGCGGCCACAACGCCGACGGAAGACTATCAACACCTCACCAAAGACGAGATCCGTGTTCATCCGCAACGACATCCACGTCGAGCTCTCGTTCACATACAATACCAAACCCCGGGAATATTGCGCAACACGCGATTATATCCTTTCTACCGTCGCGTACTGCATTTTGGAAAGGAAGAGGTCTCCTGGGAGTGCAGATTAGACCTCCAACCCCTCGACAGTTAGCTTACATCGCTGCGCTGTGTGCACGCTTTTCGATATGAGTATGCCGCTACCTCCGTTCTCTAAAAGACAGTAGGAATGACCCAGAAGTATACATGGTTTTAGGATTTGGTAAACTTTGGTTCTGATACCAATGTAGTCTGCAGCGCACCTGTTGTCGCCTTCGGTCTATTGTACGATTAGCTAGCAATGGGAGTTACCCAGGAGTCTGCATTGCCTTGATATTGTGAGAACGTTCGCGTTTCTGCTGATGTATGCCAAAGCGCACTTGTTGTTGTCCTAGGTGCATGTCACAATCAATGCGCAATAGAAGTCATGAAGGAGTCTACGTTGCCTTAGTATTTTAACAACTCTCGTTGTGATACTAATGTAGTCGCAGCGCACCTGTTATTGTTCTTGGCCCACGTTACAATTAGGTAGCAATGGAATTTACCCAGGAGACTACATCGCCCTGGGGTAACAAAAACGTTCACTCTTATCCAAACGTCGGCTGCATCACACCTGTTGCAGTCTTCAGTGTCAAGTAGTGAGATTCATCATGGCAGTATCTCATTTTCGTAGCAGCTAAGTTTTGATGTCATATCGAGGGACTACCTCAGTCAAGCATATCGAAATACCGCTGACACTCCACTTTCTGTCGCAGTTCTCATCCACTTTTCCGTTGGGCTTGGACCAAAGCTAGCGCCTAGTTGTCAACGGCAAGCAGAACAGCCTCATACTTGTTCTTCCAGTAGAGAGCATCGCTGCTAGGGGCAGCAGCTCCAACACCATTAGTAGTCTTGGAGACCTTAGCTTGGGCAAGCTCGAGCTCCAGACCCCTGATGACTTCGTCCCTGTCGACGACCTCCTGGCGGTACTGATCGGCCTTCTTGTAGGTGGGAAGCATCTCCTTGTACTCGCTGTAGGAACGCTTCGCTAGCTCAGTCCATTCTAGCACGGTCTTCTCGAGCTCTCCAATCTTGGCCTCCCGAGCACGTGCTTTCTCCTCGTTCATCAAAGACGGAGAGCCGCCAACAGCAAAAGTGGGGCTCTTGGAGGTCTTGAGCTCGTCGACTTCTGCCTTAAGTTTGGCGTTCTCCTCCTTGAGGGACTCGCAGGTCTGTGCGGTCATCCTATACTCTTTCTGCTTGGCGAGAAGGTTAGTGTTCTCCGATTCTAGCTGGTCAACCTCATCGTCAAGACCTTCAAGCTTCTTCAGAAGCCCCTCCACTTGGGTCTTGGTCTTGGCTTCTTCCTTCTTGCTGGCGTCCAAATCGGCGCCGAGGGTGCTGACTTGTTCGGAAAGAGTCGACTTTGCTCGCATGAGTTCGGTAACCTGGGACTCGAGGTCGGCGAGTTTGACGAGACGCTGCTTCAGCTCGGCGTTCTCCTTCTGGCTACTACCAAGGTCGATCTTCAGGCCTTCAACTTGCTTGGTCTGCTCGTTGAGTTTCTAATGACATATCAGTTCAACCTACGCTCAACTTACTTGTCATATCAGTGTCACTTACCGCGAATGCCTTCCCGTGCTCAGATGCCTGGTTGTTGTAGCGCTCGTTCAGACTCTTGTTTTCCTTCTTTGCCTTTTCGGCCTCGAGTCTAGCAGTGCTCTCGCCTCCCTTCAACTGGCTGATCATGGTGTTCAGAGCCGTATTCTTCTGGGTCTCCTTCGCGAGGAGGTCGGCAGTCGACTTTAGCTCAGCGGTGAAGCGATCTGTTGTCGCCTGATCGTCGGCCTTTGTCTTAGCTTGAAGGTCTTGGAGCGCTTTGCGGAGGGTGTCGGCTTCTGCAAGGAGCTGCTTCTTGGACTCCACGAGAGTCTCCAGCTCCTTCTCGAGGGCGTCGACTTTGCGAAGATCTTCCTCCTTTGTAGAGCGTGCTTGCTCTAGCAGGTGCGCGTAGTTGTCGATCTCGGTGCGGAAGTTGCCCTTCTCGAGCGTCAGACGAGAGACGCGCTCCTGGAGGGCATCGATCTCCTTCAGCTTCTCGCCAGTCTGCTCCTTGTGCGCAAGGAATGCCTCTTGGTGCTCGAGAATGAGGTTGTGCTGGATATTGACCTGCGTCGTATGTAAGATTAGTGAATGTTTCATCGGTATGGAGAGTCTTGAGAGTCACTCACCTTCTTGTGCTGGATGTTGAGTTCGTCTTGCGAATCCTTGATGGCCTCATTCACCATTGAGCTGTGGTACAAGCTCATGTTGTCACGCTGCTTCTCGAGGAACACAGGCAGCTTCTCCTTAGCGTCATTTGCCGCAGCAAAGAGCGCCTCCAGCTCATTCCACAGGGCTTCGACAGTCGGATTGGTCGCATCCGGTGACTCTTCCCGGATCAGCTGCAGCAGTCGGCGCGTATTGGTGACCGTGGTCGAGACAGTCCTGATGAACTTTTTGGCGTGCTTGGCGACTTGTTCCTTCAACGCATTGCCTTGGGAGATGGCGAGCTGCGCATCTGGGTTGTTCTGAGCTGCCACGTGAGCGCCACTGTCTGCGTCAGCGTTGTGGTGAGCGTCTTTGAGGGCCACATGGGAGTCGCCGGTGTTGAAGGCAGTGATCTGCTCCTTGGTGGCGATGGTGTTATCCACGGCTGGGGTAACAGCGATAGATGCGGAGGGGTTGATGGACGTGGCCAAAGCTGCCTTCTTCAAGTGCGGAGCAGCATACTTGGAGTATCCGAGAGAGACGGGGCCCATATAGGGCTTTGCGGACGCCATGTTGCGTGATGGATGGAGAGAGGGCGGAGTTCTGTGCTTGATGTGAGCCGCTGTCAATCACTACGGTCGGATGTGAAAGTGAGGTCGCCGTTGCGCACGATGTAGTCGAATGCGACGAGTAAGGGATACGACTTACGATTGACTGTAGACAGCTACGAGATTGCGGGATGGCTTTGTTCGAGAGGGTTGGGGGTGCGGTATTCTGGTTGTTGGGGTGAAGCTGGCGCCGTGTTTGTGGACAGAAGGTAGAGGGCAGTCGCGCTCGGCCTCAGGGCAACAACATAGGCAGGTACCTTGCCACCTAACCGAGCCAATCTTATCGATGAGAGGGATGTCGACAGTCAAACGCGAATCAAGACATATTCGCGGTGAAGTGAGAGATGAAAAATATGGACTACATGGTCACGTGCTAGCAGAGAGAGTCGCTGCCTTCACCTTTATTCACGCCAGCATAACGACCGGCAGGAGGTACGGGTACTTGGCAGTCAAGCTGAAGAACGGAGACGCCTCATACAAGGAAGACATTGAACAGGTGTGTCGAAGTCTACATTTGGCTTAAAGCGAATGCATAAAATATCCAAGAGGGTCTTTCTATCTTTCTTGAACGGGAAGGAGACAGGAAAGACGGAAGGAGGGGACAATGAGATGATAACAAAGAGATCTGGTTGGAAGAGAATTTGAGAGATCGATCTTCGACAAGAAATATGAACCAGGTACCTTCGTCGTTATTAGAGCTTCCACCCGGGCAACAAACGTCTATCATCATATTAGGACGTAAGCTCAGCAAGAGCCGCGGGTGGAAGCAACTCTTCAGACCTACATGTTGGAGTATTGTCACACAATTTTGTCAGGGCGATCGCGGAATGCTGATTACTTGAGATGTAACTTGTGGAGAGAACAAGTCACCCACTCCAGCCCTCCCCGTGGTCCCCACAACCCGCCAAGCTGGACATGCGACCTGGAAACGGGAACGTGGCTCTTGGCTGACTCAGGATACGATGTTGGATCAACGTCCCCTCAAAAACGAACAAAAAATGCTGACAAGGCAATGGCAAAACGCGGCTTAAGCCTCGGTTACGGGACAGAAACACAAAAAGCAAAAGACACGCCATTCTGCTTGCCTGTCAAACCAGGAAGACGGGTCAGATTCCCATTCGGCATGCTGTGTGACGGTCACGTCGGCGTGCGATGGACTGCGGTGGATTGCAGAGGGCACATTTTGATTTTCATCGAGTGGGTTCAGGGTGGAACAGGAGAGTTCCAGACACGCAGGCAGCCGAATACCCGCACAGAGGACGGTCCGCCCTTTTGGGGATGTTGGAACGACGCTAGTTCGTTGTGGTTTTGGACGCTCGTGGAATATGTTGCGGTGGGTCCCTTAGGGGCTCCTCGCCATTTATCCAGGTGGCCATGGGGAACGGCCGCTGAACCAAGCGAGTGGGGGTCGCAGCGAGTTACCTCGGGTGCAGGTGGCTGAAGTGGTTGAAGTGAGGTAAAAAGGGCCGGAGAGGCAGCAATCACAAACATGTCGAGAGAGAAAGGCCGAGTTGAGGCGTCTTGGGTAAGCATTGGAGGTGATGGGGTGGGTCCACTTTCGGAGGTATGGCGCGGAAAGAGCCGCCATCCAGCGTCTGAAACATAGTCGGGATGGCTACCCAGGCCGTCCTGCAGCAGTACGGGCGAGCTGGCGCGCAGGAATGCATCATGACGGAGAAGAAAGCAGGCGCAAGTTGGGCAAGCAGTGCACGAGCCGGCAGAAGGAGCTAGGTATGTTGCACTCGCGGCGGAGGCAGGGCTAGCAGCGTACAGAGGCAGCCCCCTAGGGTGGACGAGTGAAACGCGGAGGCACCGGTAGAGGTCCGAAGCATCAGGTTGGGGAGCAGATGTCGATTCATGTTGGCGAGCGACGGCAGCAGGCTTCCTAGCCCGTGGTTGGACTGGATGCAGCGGGAATCGATCGTCGCGCCAGGTTGCCGTGTCTCGTGGCTTTCATGTCGTCCATCACGTTGCGGGCGCCGATCGCGTCCGCATGGGGGACTGGCATCCGAACGTCGGGCGTGCACGCTTGACCTGCCCTTGGCCGCCGTGTCGCGGGAAGACATTTAATATCATCCTGCCCGCCCAGCTGGGTCACGGCTGCTGCTGCGAGCATGGGCCTTCATCGCGAACGGTGCAGATCAGGGATTCTTTGCCGACACGTTATTTCTTAGGCCAGTCGCATACCGTCCCGGTTGTTCAGTCGTCTGTTAGTGCTGCATAGTGCCTCGTTTGCGTCCTCCTGCCTGTCCATTGAGATACATTTTTTGCTTCTTCGTCCCTCGTTCAGTCGCGTCGCCCACTGCTAGCACCGTACACCACCCACCACCACCACCACCGCTCTACTGCACCCCTCCCAACCTCCGGTAGCGTCTCCCGCTCGCCTCAGATTCCAATCACCTGCACGAGTCAGCCCGCTAGGACCTCAGCTAACACGCATGGTAGGCCTTGACTGCGTCCTCGCTACTGTTGTATGCTCGTAGCCCATCCCTAGCGTGTCGCGACTTCTCCTCTCCATCGCCGCTGCCTCAGCTCCTCCACGACGTCACCCAAAGCAGTTTATGGCACCGGCAATCATGTGCTTCGGACGAAAACCCTCTGCCACCGACCCCGAGTCGAGGAAGAATGTCGAGATCGAAAAGAACCTCCGCGCCGACCGGAAGCGGGCTGAGCGCGAGGTGAAGCTGCTGCTACTCGGTATGCATTGAATGGGCCCCCGGTGATACAGCGTGACTGAGACAAGAGTGCAGGTGCCGGAGAGAGCGGCAAATCAACCGTCCTCAAGCAGATGCGCATCATCAACGCAGGCGGATTCCAGAGCCTCGAGCGCAAGACATGGCGGGCCACCATCTTCAACAACTTGGTCTCGGCCTTCCAGACCATCTACGCAGCCATGCAGGAAGACGACATTGACTTTGAGGACGACGACAACATTGTATGTCCAATCCAATGGCCCCTGCCCATACACCACTAACAGATTACAGCGGTACTCCGAGATGGTCAACTCCGCACCCGACATTGGCACCGAGGAGCCCATGCCCGAAGAGTTCCATACAGCCTTCAACTCGCTCTGGGCCGACAAGGGCGTGCAGCTCACAATCCTCAAGGGCAACCAGTATGCGCTGCACGACAACCTGAACTAGTACGGTCCCTTCCTCCGCCTCTACCGCTCCCCGGCTAACAATTCAGCTTCTTCCAAAACATCGACCGTCTGTTCCAACGGGACTTCCTCCCCACCGACCAAGACATCCTGCGCACGCGATTACGGACCACCGGTATCTCCGAGACCATTTTCGAGCTCGGCAACCTGACATACAAGATGGTCGACGTGGGTGGCCAGCGCTCAGAGCGTAAGAAGTGGATCCACGTTTTTGACAACGTGCAAGTCGTGCTCTTCCTCGTGGCCATTAGCGGCTACGACCACGTGCTAGTAGAAGACCGGAATGGCGTAAGTAACCTTTTAAGCACACACGCTACGTGCACTAACACCACTAGAACCAAATGCACGAAGCTCTCATGCTATTTGAGTCGATATCCAATTCCAAATACTTCGAAAAGTCGGCGCTTATCCTCTTCCTCAACAAGATTGATCTCTTCACCGACAAGATAGCAAGTGGCATGAGCCCAATCCGGAGGGTCTTCTCCGACTACACTGGCGGGGACCGAGATGTGGAGGCCGGCAAAGAGTTCTTCGCCAACAAATTCCGCAACCTCGTCCGCCAGCCCAAGAAGGAGGTCTACGTCCACTACACCAACGCGACCGACACCAACCTGCTCAAGATTACCATGGCGTCGGTACAAGACATGATCGTGCAGCGCAACCTCAACGCACTGATACTATAGTAATCACGGATGGTCGCGTTGCGATCGTCGCCGTCTTACACACAGCCCAGGAGAGCGCTCGCGCGCCCACGCGAAAGCAGGGGTGCACAACGCACACGCGCCCGCGCTGTCGACCCACCTGCCCTAGAACTGGATAGTCCGCCTGGCGGGACCGGAGTAGCAACGGACTTTTAGTGGACGAGAAGAGACGACTTCCACGGCCCTTTCCATTTTATACCCCCGATATCCCTTTCTCCGCTTCTTCATCATCTTCGCCAGTACATGACGATCTCACGACTTAATATCTTGGTCTTGATTCTAGTCTTGATCTTGGTCTCTTTTTCTTCTCTCTTGGTTTGTTTTAGTAAGCGGATACACGCGTTTTGTAGATTGATAGTGTATTGCAGATCTGAGGAGACGAGTATGTCTTGGAACTCGACTGTGGAAAGATACAGAGGCTGACACAATCTCCCTCCCTATCTCGGCTTTGGACAACTACGGTTTATTGGGTGTTGTGTACCTAGTACTCATGCGCAGTCACTCACTGAGAGTGGGCAGGGTCATAGATTGGGGTTGGGCAGTGCCATGTCCAAAAAACATATTACATGGCATTGGACGTGCAGCGGGGAATGCAGAAGAGGTACATTTTGCTGCTGCAGTGTAATATCAACAAACCATCTTACCCAGCTCCGAGACATTCTTCATCTTGACGTACTCCGGTTCCCGTATCTTCCGTTTCCCATGTCGTTGCATATGCAGCCACTTACATAGCCATGTCCCCATGTCTGGGGGACGCAACTACCAACTTACATCATATTTACCCTGATTTACCCACCGCAAGCGAAGGGAGATATGATCAGGATGGTAAAAAGCCGCATCCCGCGGGGTTCGTCAACGCCCATGCATCATGCGCCTCTGCGGCGTGGTTGCCTTACAGACCGAACCAGTCGCTCTCGGTCCGTGCCGCTTCAACCCGGCGTGGGACGTTGACTCGCACGTCGCGTCGCAGAGTGGGAGGAGGGTCTATCCCTCCATAATGAGGGAGTGGCTGAGCTTGTGGCTTGGCCTGGACTTGTGGCGTCGGTTTGTGGTGGAGAGAGATGGGATGTGTATAGAAAGGGTGCGATGAGTTGTAGTGCAGTGCAGTGCAGTGCAGATGTATTGGACATGCGGGGCAGGTGGTCAGGCGCGCACAATGGGATTGTGAGGTCACGCGAAGAGTGTTGGCGGAGTGAGTAGAAGGGTGCTGTTGGTGTGGGCAGGGTGGTTTGTGGAGGGTTGCGAAGTGAGGTAGTGCGGATGGGGGAATCCCTTGCTCTGAGGAGGGGACGATGCCTGTGAGAAGGCGATAGTGGGCGCTTGCTAACACCATGTGTTGTCGTAGGTAGATACTAAGAGGAGGCGGCAGGCAAGGCTGTAAGATGTGCACGTATGGACAAGATTGATTTGACAGTACAAACAGCGCTCTATCATGAGCAGAACAATACCTATCTTATATTGCAGATAGTGACCTCGGGAGTATCAGAGGGTGCATCGAAGCCACAATACTCTAACAGACTCCATTAGAACATATGGGTGAGATGATCTAGACCACACACCGACATGTTGTCACGAGACCTAGGCAACTACCCGTGAACATTCACCGTACTCTCGACCGCTTGACGCTTTTGACATGTGCAATGCTCCCGTGACGGGTGCCGTGCTAGTGCCAATATTGGAATCGGGGAAACATCGGCGCGTGGAGCACCTGCAGCAAGTCCTGATAGCCGGCCCTTGAGCCTCATCAACACCATCGTCATACCCAATACCCCTCCGCCCAGCTGGCCATGTTCTCGCCCGCTGTTGGCAGAGTCGCCCGCTCTGCAAACACCTTCGCTACTGCGCCAGCGACTTCGTATGTCTTCACCCGCTGCGCCCGCTCTGCGCTGAGCACCAGCACGGCGCCGCAACAACCCTTCCGACCCAGTCACCAGCGGCGCTACTCGTCCTCGAAGCCGTCCACACCCCCGAACAGCAAAAAGAAGCCCACGGAAATAGATCAGAATGCGACGGCAGAGCTGCAGGGCGCCGGCAAGAAGTCCAAGGAGACGAAGAAGCTGAAGGAGCCCTCGACGGCTACCACAGGCAACAACGTGCCCTTTGTACCGCCAACAAACCACCTCCGGGAAGACGGTAAGATGCCGCGGGGATGCCCCTCCCCATGCATATGCTGACTTATCGCAGATGTCAAACTATCCGCCTTCTTCGGCCTCCACCGCCCCATCTCCATCTCGCGCTCCTTCCCCAACGCGACGTCGACCGCCGAATTTGACGCCTTCTTTGACGTAAACCGGGCGAATGACGTTCAAAGAATGGAAGCCACCAAGAACGTTCTCGCTGGCTTCCTGGACCGCGTAAACGCCGAGATCGATGCACAAGAGGAGCAGCGAGCCGATGCGATACAATCGGAACAGGAGGTATACCACCTCGATGTTGAACCCACACAGCAAAACGTAGAAGACTGGGCCTCTCGCCTTGTTCCCTTCCGAGCGCCAGCGGCACCCGAGCCGTACGATGCACTAGCGAGCGCGCCTCAGGCCGAGTCACACTCCGCTGAAGGCCTCTCCGCTAGCATCAACCAGCGCATAACCGAAGTACCGCTGCCCGCGCAAGAGAGGAAGCCAAGCACATTTCGCCAGCACGTTGCGCGACGAAGATATGGCATGTACATGATCAGTGTAAAGAGGCAACGGAAGCTCAAGATGAAGAAGCACAAGTACAAGAAGCTCATGAAGAGGACGAGGCTGTTGCGGAGGAAGCTCGATAGGTTGTAGTGAGTACATAGCGTTGGCGTTATAGACATGCATGGCCAGGTCGAAGAGAATAACTTCATGGACTCGCGGACTGCTGGCCTTGGAACATCGATATCGCCTGCGGAGGTGCGAAGCCGGTCGCAGTGACCGGGATTAACACCCGCGGCTTAACGGTCGCCTCCCTACGGTCCTTCGTTTGACAGAAGGCATTACGAATTTACTCGACTCATCTTTCGAATCTCGCGCATTGCCCTGGTGTTTTGAGCAGCTTGTTTTGATCGCATATGACGCCAGACGGGGCCGCTTCTTCTTTCCAAATACCACCGTCAATAACCACCATTACGTGCATTTCCCTTGCATTGTGTTTCTGCCCGAGCATCTCGCTGTTTCTTCATGCATCGCAAAGAGTCTCTGAGAATTCGAATGGAAGTTCAAGATGCGAACGCATTGATGATCGGCGCTGTCAAGCGACGTTTGTTGACGGCGGCTATACTGCGCTCTAGGCGTAGTCCCGTGTCGCAAAGTCACATGAAACCCCACCGCGACTGAGGCCGTCACAACACCCCCAACATCAGGCAGCACGCACGTCAGTCGACTGAGTCGATGCCCCGCACGGAAGCCTTAACAGACGGCTCCTAAGGCGTAGCGAAGTCGCAGCCCGGCAATCATACGTTCCAGCACGCTCAAGAGCGCATGACGCCTTGGCACGAACACCCCTCTGTCATTTTTCCACTGCGTTTTCACGACCCCGCTGTGTTCTGGGCGTCGGATCGAAGGCGGGATACACGTCTTGGGCGCATGGTTGAGACGTCCAAGTGATCCTTCCCCCAGGCATGGCGCTTGGAGGTGAGTCCCTTGGAGAGAGAGTGGCGGGAACGGAGACACAGATGAATGTGATATATAAGCCTGGTATACCTCGCCCACAGCTTGAAGGCCAGCAACTTCGACAACAGCAAAGTCAACAGTAGCATCCAGCAAACTCCCTTCTTTCGCTTCTTACAGCACTTTTTCCATTCTTTCGCCCAGGTCGGCCTTTATATCAACTTCATCTACCTATTACTTACTTCTTTCATTACAAGAGCTAGTCTCTCGTTTTCCTCCACTTTTAACGTTTAACGCATTACTACTATTATCGTTCTTTCGATTCCAAATCACAACCACAACAAATCAGCAAACATGGTTTCCAAGACTTTCATCATCGCGGCTATGATTGCCTACGTCCAGGCCCGTTTCGGTCAGGAGCAAGTCCCCATCGATGCTATTAGTCAAGTTCAAGGTGGCGATGGTGGTGCCGCTGCTACCATTGCTGGTGCGGCCATCTCTGACCTTCTTGGTGGAGCAAACTCTTGCGATAAGGTATGTGCTTCTCCACTTGTTTACCCTACCTCCACATCCCCGGGTCTCAGGCTAACAAACACACCAGCTCGTCCGTGCTGATCAGATCTTCACCGAACTCGGTGGCGGTGCTGATGCCCTTGCTGCTGCCATTGGTATGGTGACTGCGGAGAAGAACACCAACCCCTTCGCTGGCGGCAACGCACAGAACGTCTGTGGCGACCCTGCCCTTCCTGCTACTGCTGAGCTTCGTGGTATCACTCCTCTCATCGACCCTGATGTCGATGTCAACGGTGATGCTGCTGCCCTTAGCGCTAGTAGTGCTGCTTCCCCTCTGGCTGCTGATGGTCTGAGTGTCTTTGATCTCATGGACCAGGCTGGTCTCGGTGATCTCGTTGTCAGCCAGGCTTCGGCTGGTGGTGCCGGTGCTGCCGCTGGTGGTGCTGCTGCCGGCGGTGCTGCTCAGGGTGGCAACCAGGCGGCTGCTGGTAACGGCAATGCCAACGCTGGTAACAACGCCAACGCTGGTAACAACGCCAATGCTGGTAACAACGCCAATGCTGGTAACAACGCCAATGCTGGTGACAATGCCAATGCTGGTAACGGAGCTGCCAATGCCGGCAACGCGAACAACAACGCTGGTAACGCTACTGCTGATGCTGGTGCCGATGCCGCTGCTGGTAACGACAACGCCAATGACAACCAGAACAACGCCAATGCCGGTAACAACAACAACGCTGGCAATGCCAACAACAACAACCAGAATCAGAATCAGAACAACAATGCCAACGCCGGCAACGACAACGCAGCTGACAATGCTGGCAACGCTGACAACGCTGGCAATGCCAACAACAACGCTGGAAACAACGCCAACAACCAGCAAGATGCCGCCGCGGGTAACGACAACGCCAATGCCGGAAACCAGAACAACAACAACGCCAACGCCGGCAACAACGCAAACAACCAGCAAGACGCCGCCGCCGGAAACAACAACGCCAACCAAAACGCCGGAGCCGATGCCGGTGCAGATGCCGGAGCCGACGCAGGCAACGCAGCAGCAGGCGGTGCCGGCGGCGCCGAAGACTTCGGTCTCTGCACGCCCACCATAACCTTCCAAGGCGGCGAGAACGGGCGCCCCGCCGACGAATTCACCTTCCAGATCGCGGACCCCCTCGCGCGCGGCGGCCAAGGCGAAGCCCTCAACCCCGACATCATCACCAACGCGCTCTGCAACCAGCTGACCAACGTGTGCGAAGCCAACGAGGCTGCTGTCGCTACTTGCGAAAGCGCTGCTGCGGCTGTTCAGGGCGGAGACAGGAACAAGGCGCTTGCTGATCAGTTCAACGAGCTTGTTGGGTTCCCTGGTGCGGTTACCAACCCGGATGGTGGTGCGGAGGATGTTGGTGCTGCGGCGAAGGCGAGGAAGATGCGTCGTGGTCTTAGGTTGTAGGAAGGTGGTCGTGATCTAGAAGATGAGTATGAGATGAGAAGATGGGAGTGGGGGAGTGCTCTGAACGAGATTGAGATGCGAGGGAATGAGGGATGAACGGTACACATTTTTTGCTGGATGTCTACTGTTGTTAGAAGTTGGCTCGAATTTTCCTTTTTCTTTTATACTGTATTCTTATACCACTGCATTTGCGTTTACCACGAGTAGATTGATATTGATGAACAAATCTGTTACGATCATTATTGTTTCTCTGTTGCTAGCTTGTGAGATACAAATGATGTCTCTCTGTGTCCTCCTGATCATCTCTTACCTTGTATCAATCGGCTGTTTGTTGGACATTCGCAGCTTTTGTTGAGTGGCTTCGCTGTGATTGCTGGTAGCCAGCCTCTCCTCATCATCTTGGTGGAGGCGACGGAGAGAAGGCGCATTTGGCCCAGACTGGGGCCTGGCCTTGGTTCGAGCTGGTCATCGAAGACGTACTTTGGTGACCTTGGTGGAGGCAAAACTTGAGGGAAGCTGAAGTCTGCATTCCGAAAGACCTCGCCGACGTTCATACGTCTCTCGCTGTGTTACTGGTAGCGGGCGTCTCCTCGTCACTTGAGTGGAGGCAAAGCTTGAGGGATCACAAGATCTGTAATTTGAGATACACTGCCAATATTCCTGTTTTTCTTCGCCGACTTGATAGTTCTAGACTGTTATTCCAGTGGGTGAGGCGTTGATTCGAGACGATCGATATGTCGGCTCTAGATCTGCCTCCTTTGCCTGCGCAGTATCTTGCAGTGAGAGGGGTTATCTGGACGCCGACCGTATTGTGGTTCTGGACTCGTTCTCTTGTTCGCGCAGTATCTGGGTGCTGGAGGGTCGACCCACCGGGTAAGCTAAGCGCTCTTTGCGCCATGTACGTACACCTACATTGGCAGCTGATTCATGGAGCCATCCGGACAACAGCGCAAGCGGAGATTTCCATACGACGTCGTGTGCCATAATCGTGGTAGGAGGCACCTCGAGATGCAATCTAGAGGAGGCTGTGTAGAGATTTGCATTCGCATGCAGGATGCTCCTATTGCAGTGGATCAGAAGTCTTTTGAAATGTCTCGAGATGTAATCGATGTGTGTGTTCAGTGGTAGCGAAAGGAGCTGCACCCTGAGTGTGTCTCGTGGCACCACTTACTCCACGGGAGAAATTATCGGTATCTGTGTTTCTCCTCGGTCGACGGGACCTAACCCACACCCTCACTTCGGTAGACACGCGACAGCTCCAGGAACGGCGAGGTAGTGGCCCAGAACTGAGGGAAAAGCAAGCGGTACCGTTCCCTACACTGTGCCTTGTGGGTTCGATCGAGGCTCCGAGTTCCGTTACTCCGCCTCGAAAAAAGCAAACAAAGGAACATGGCCAGACAATGTCACGAGAAATTCTCCGGAGTCTGGAGTCGTCGCAGCTTGCAAGGTACATGCAAGTCCTACCATACGACTTCTGTTTGCGGACTTGGACGCAAAACCCGACCGAGCGTCTTCACCACACGGGCTGTGCTTAATCTAATGCAGACAGGATGGATACATCCTGTTCCGAGAATCCTCCCCGGCATCCCCGCCCTGCTCCGCCTTTACAATTGTGTGCGCTGCTGGCTGATGGTACGCGATATGCGGTAGATAGCGATGTCACACGCTCATTGGCCATGGGTAGGATGAGGTTACTTGGTGTAGCTGATCTGCAAGTCCGTTGCGATCTGCGCTGCATCTGTCTTCCGCGGAGCTGGTGGGGATGGACGCTCGACTTGCCTACGAAGGCGAGGTGGCTTGCGGAGAGACCCTGAGCTAGAAGGTATGGAAGAAAGGAAGGAGTGTGTGTGGGGATGGTGAGTCTCGCCAGGACCAGGGGAACCATGTGCGCGCTTGGAGTCGGTGAAGTGGAATGAGCTGTTTTGGACAGCGAGACGAGTGTTGTGAGCTGGTTATGATAGCGAGGCAGCTTTGCCGTTCCGAGCAAGCGGCTGGCTCACAGCGATCATGTGTTGGACGATCATTGGGAATTGCAGGAGGCCAAGGCAGAGCTATGAGCGTCGGTAGTCCACGTGTGAAGGTGCTAGAGTCAGTAAATCCCGCTGTCGTTCATTGCTTTTGAGGCGGAATCAGGCGGCAGCCACAGACGCATTGTCATGGCACACAACCCTCCTCACGTCGCATTCGCTTCGATGTGGCGCAACGAGTGCAATGCCGGAGTTAAATGCCTGGCAAA